GGTCGGCCGAAGTCTCTTCAATTCGAAGGCAGCTTGCACTCCGGTTAGCCTAAGCTTGAATATTATACATTCAGACTATTCATATTTAGCCCTCAATAATAATAACGGGTCTTGGTTGTTTCAGTGTTCGTCTCGTTTCACTTGGTTCGGCGGTTTCAGTAGCCCTGTTTCAATAGTTTTATAACCGGGTAAACGAAAGCCTCTCGGTAACAGTAAGTATAAGCAAAGCTTTAATTTATCGAGGGTTAACGCATAATAGTGGACATTCACCAAAAAAACTTGGGGCTCTCATTTATAGAATGGTTGATCAAATGGTTACACTCGTAAAATTAGAAAATAATTTCACTTGCGTTTTGTCAAAATTCTAATAATTTCTTTCGTCTTTGATAAAAGACGCTTACAATCGTGGGTTTAGGAAACGTTGCCATAGCAATTTTGTAATTTCGTATGTGAAATTATCAACTAACGCTGAAATTTCGGGCCATTAAGGAATAATGTGTCACCCATGATATTAATCATATAACTCATTTATTTGTTTGTTAATGCTTTTAATTCATGCTTCTTCTTCTTAAAACGTAGCTAAATAGGGCGATCGTTGCTGGCTTTGCTTCTTAAAGTGCCACTATGATGAATTTCTCGATATCCATTTTTTTACATTTTCGCACACAATAGGTCTTGCCTAGATATCTTGACAAATTTCAATCTATTACGAGCATTAGAACTCGCGGCTTTTGGACCTTTATTTCCGATAATTTACGGCCAAGTCTTGGTTGAGAATTTAAGAAAATGATCCATTTTCTCAAAAATACCGCACGGGTTGAAATTACAATAACAATTAATGTGGAAAACTGCACGAATATATGATCCAAAGTTTTTGTTATTCTTTATGCGAATTGCTGTACTACTTGTTATTATAATTTCAACCCGTGTGGTATTTTTGAGAAAATGACGATTTTCTCCAATTCTCAACCAAGACTTGGAACAAGGAAAATTAGTGGCGGCCGTAAATTCTCGGAAATAAAGGTTCAAAAACATGAGTTCTAATGTTCGTAATAGATTGAAATTTGCCAAGATTTCTAGGAAAGACCTGTTGTGTACGAATACGTAAAATATTCGGTATCGAGAATTTGAGGAATTTGATCATAATTGAAGTCGTGCTAATTCCGAATTGACTCCAAACAGTTGAAACGTGAAACTTAAAATAATAGGTGAAATCCTTAGCTTTTTAGGTTAACACTGAAGGATATATTAGCTTTGAGAAACTGTAAAATTTCTGTGTGACAAAAGTGCTAATTGAGCCCACACATCGTTTGTAAAATTTTGAGTTTACACGCTTGAGTAAACACGCTTCGCACGAAAACGTTTTTCATACATGACCATTCATCGTCTTCAAATTCTTTGGCACTGTTTCGTGGTATGCCCTTTCAATATTCAGAACTGATATTAATTTTTGTAGCTTCATAAAAACTGAATCTCTTCGGTTTTTTTTGCTTATCATTACGAGGCAGATACCGACAAAGGTCACGGATCAAATGCGCAAGACTGTTTACAGCCAATCACAGCTTGTTATTTTCTTAGCGACGTCATTCGCCTCGGGACGAGATATCCGTGTTGTTCGGTCGCGTGCACAATTTGGCTGTTTTTTTTCTCCGTGGCGCCGCGATTTACGTTGAAATTTGCGTCTGGTTCCCTCATTCACAAGCAAAGAGTTCTGTACGTTGTGGATTTGTTGTCTTCAGATCAGCCATGATCAATAAGTTGTCATACGCTGGGCGATAACAGTCCTCGAAGACAATTCACGTGAGTTGAAATACTTTACTTGCATAAGTTTTCGCATACAGTGTTTGGCTGGTCAGATATTCACGTAACCTCCGTCTTTGCCGCTTTTGATCATTTTTTGCAAATTAATTTTTGCTTTTAAGCTGTGCTCTACTTCGAAAGCAGAAATGGGGGAAATAAATTGGTCATTATGCTTAACTAAGTTTAAGAAGAAGGAATCTTTTCTTGTGCATGTGCATCTGCAAGTAAGCTTACAGCTTTAAGTTATTTTCGGGAAGGGCTGTAGCTGTCAACTTTGATCCTGAAAGGAGTACGTTTTGGAATGACGGTATTAAACATTACATCGCCACTCTAAATGCACAAGAAACAGGAGGCAACAACTCGTTTTGACGGCTGTACGTAAGCACGTGAGTTTTGTCACGGAAAGAAAGCAATGAAATGTTAGTGCTGCTGAATGCTGTAATCCGAGAGGCCAATATAAACCAGTTTGTTACTGTTACCGACGATCAGGAGTTCTGTATGGGAACAACCCTGCTCTGCATTGACTCCTTACATCCTCCTTCCCTTCGGCAGCATTTTGTACCATGTAGGTTAACTAACTAGTGTAAGATTTAAGTTATTTTCGAGAAGGGTTGTAGCTGCCGACTTTGATCCTGGTATTTACTTAGTACATCAAAGGAGTACGCTTTGGAATGACTGTATTAAACATTACATCGCCACTCTTAATGCATAAGAAACAGGAGGCAACAACTTGTTTTGACGGCTACCAAGCAGGTGGCTGGCCTGCGAGAGCAACCAATTTTTTCGGCTCTTGTTTTACGGGTCGAGAAACAAGAGCCGAAAAAAAAAAAAACCGGGCTACTTCCAAGAATTGTACTGTTAAATTTTTCTTAAGGCTGGTTTTCACTAGAACATAAGCATAAGCACAAGCATAAGCATAAGCACAAGTGAAAACAGGCGCGACATAAACATAAGCAT